TATTTATTTATTTTAAAATATGCTACTTCAGTAAATTTGGGGAAATTCTGAAAAACAGAAAGGAAGGAAAAGAAAAAATTATCTTTTATCTATGATCTGAACACAACCACTGTTGACATTTTAGTGTATTTCATTTGTGTATTTTGTATTCTATGCGGCTTCTTTTTAAAAAAAAATCACCATGCAACTAATTTGGTTTAGCATTTTACCATAATCATTTCCTGTGTCTTCGTATTCTTAATGACTGTGCCATATCCTATTGCACTCATGGGCCCTAGCCTACTTGAACATTTCCTAGAGCAGGCATCCTCAAACTATAGCCCAAGGGCCATGTGTGGGCCGCCTGGCACATTTATCCAGCCTGCCGGGTGTTTTTGCTGCCGCTGCCTGTCCTGCTTAGCAGTTGACTGGTCCCGGGCCCACAGTGCGCACTCTCCAATGGTCTGAGGGACAGTGAACTGGCCCCCTGTTTAAAAAGTTTGACGACCCCTGTTTTAGATTTTAGGTTGTTTCTAGCTTTTCATAATTGTAAGTAGGACTGCAATCAATCTGTTTGTGAGTGAAGTTGTCTTTCTGCTTCTTTTCCCCTGAATTCATGCTAAATTCTTTAGATTTCCAGAAGTGAAACTACGGAGTCAGGTGGGAAGAACATGTTTATGGCTCTTTGATGTGTTCGTATATTGCCAAATTATTTTGAAAGCCTATGCCCTGTGAGTCTGGGTGGTTGCACATGGTTAAGTTCCTTTACACCTATGGCCTACCCAGCCCTTCCGGAGCTTGTCCTGATTTATCCTCCCAGCAGCCAGCCATGTGTGAAGGTCCTGGGCCCCTTCCAGGCTCTCTTGGGCCCCCAAGGCAGCCAGACTGAGGTGGGAACAGCACCCTCAACCGTTGTGAATTCCCCAGGGCTCAGATGACTAATTCTGCACCTGCCTCTGGGCCTGGAGTGCTCCCTGCTGCCCATGTGAGCATATTGCCTCCCTGTCATGTGACCTGGGCTCCACCTCCTCCCCAGCACACCCTCCTCTGGTGTCCCCAGTTCAGGTATGGCCTGAGCAGGTGCAGGGACAGTCACAGCCTCTCGGAGGTCTCCACTGTCCCTTAGGCAGGACAGGAGCACAGTCTGGGATGTGTCAGCCTCCTGCACTTTCCTGCTCTAGGCAGCTCTGCAGGGAGAAAGTTCTTCTTTTTTTTTTTGACCTAAAATCTGTTTCCTTGGTGTTTCTTCTGTCCATTCCTGTGTTACCCCTAAGGGCCACAGGTCGCCACTCTGCATACTTTTCCCTGAGGCCCTTCCTTTCCTCCAGATCTCCTTCCCTCGGGGTCTTCAGGTTTCTCTCTCAGCTGGTCCTGCAGGCGCTCGGGAAGAGTTCCCTCACTTCTGAGTCTCAGCTCCCACTGTAGGACAGAGATAAAGCTCTCCATCCCGCAGGCTGGTTGCAAAGACTCGGCGTAATACCAACAAAAATCCTGGCTCAGACTCTTGGCTCAAGATGGTAGCCCAGCACACGGATGTGCTTCTCCTTCCTGCTGAACATCTGTTCACAGAAACTAAACTAAACTAAAGGATTGAGAGGGAAAAGGAAAAGCCAATAAAAAGCTGCGTGGGGGAAGATGGTTTGGACAGTACCTCAAGGAATCAGAGATTTTAACATATTCCTGGAATATCAGAATGGGTCACATCCCATTTATTGGTATATGGGAGCAGAGAAGGCTGTGGCCGAGATGGAGAAGTAGAGAGGTCTATGGGGGGCTTTGGTTTGGTGGGGTGAGGTCAGGCTAGGAGAGCAGAAGAGGCAGGAGGGACAAAAGCCAGGGTGGCAGCTGCCACGTGGTAGTCAGGTTGACCTCCTGCACCTCGACTTGGACAGCCATCATTTCCCCTAGGCAAGATTTTCTCTGAAGAAATTGAGTAGCCAGTCTAGGAGGGGCCAGGGCTTCCAGAGAAGGGTCAACCCCACAGAGGACGGCCCTTCTTGTTTTGACCCCATTTCCCCACCTGAGCGTGCCAAACCTGAGCTGGCCAGTCAACAAGCTCTGCTCAAGTCCATGGAGTCTGCTTTCAGCTCAAGAAACAGAACTGATTTGAGAAAGAGAAAACCTTCTAGAAGCAGACTGTGACAAAAAAAGAAAAAAAAAAAAAAGAGAAAGAGAAAACTTAACAATAAAAATTAAAACCCTTTAACTCATCAGAGAGATTCAGAAAATGACTCTATTCATAATATAGAAAACAGGATATTATGATAAAGTGACATCCAAGGAAGAGTTCTTATATATTTAAAAACGTTCAATGATTTTTTTTTAAAATCAATAAAAAGATTGCAAAAAAGCTTGAGAAATTTCTCAGAATGAAGAAGAGAGAGATGCATAATATGAGAAAATATTATGAGACACAGAGGATTGATCCAGGAAAACCAGTAACCATTAATAGCAATTCTGTAGGAGAAAACTTATTGGAGGGGTAAAAATGATTAAAGAAATAATAGACACTTTTCCAAGACTTAAGGAAAAAAGAAAAAGACAAAGTCTTGAGAATGAAAAATGCCACCAAACATAGAGCAGAGTGAATGAAACAAAAAATCCAGATTTGAACCTATATTAGATATTTTAGAGTAGTAAGGATAAGTTAAACACCCCCAAACTTCCAGTGAGAAATAAAAGGCAGGTCATGTTAATGTTTGTAACAGCAACCCTGAATCTTAGCGATGGAGACATGCCTTAAAAAGAGCTGAGAGAAAATGATATCGAGCTTAAACTTTGGTATCCAATCAAACTATTAATATGAATCGGGCATGAGAAAAAAGTAAAGATATTTTATGACATTCGGAGACTCCAACGTTTCTCCTAATTCAACCTTTTGGTAAAAAATTGCTTGAGGGTATACTCCAGCAAAATGAAAAGGAGTCCAAGACAGAGGATGACCGGGATCCAAGAAGCAACGAATCTAACATAGGAGAGCAATGACAAGAGATTCCAGAATAACAACTATATGGCAGATTAGGCCTGCCCCTAACATTTATTTGCAGGGCCTGGGGCAAAAGCAAAAATGGAGGACTACCCTGCAGTTCATCCCCTTCTCTTCCCATCCTGACTTATTTCACTCTGTGTGGACATAAAAACTTGCATGTCCAATCCCTGTTCACACATCCTCCCATCCCTGAATACAGGTGCCACTGGCCATCCTCAGGCCTAGATGTGCACAGACTGGTGGCATGGTCCACCGTCAGGAAGGGCAGACCTGGAGAGGAAGCCTATGCAAACCTTGGGATTAAGCTGGGGGGTCCCAAGTACTCAAAGTATTGTAATGGGGCCTTGGGGAAAGGGATCAACGTGAGTTCCAGTTGGACCTTCCTCTTGTATCCAAGAGACTTCTCATATGTGGGGAGGAAGACCAGGGACAGACCCTCTAAGGCAGGGGTCCCAGAGTAGGACCCTCGTTGTCTGGCTCTGAAGTGGTCCTGATTGTGCAGGGTCCATGAGATGATGCTTACAGACTGCTTAAAACAACGCTTGGCATGTATTAAGTGCTCAATAAATATTAGTTGTTGGTATTATTATTATTCAAATGAGTATCTGAGGGCTGACTCACCCTTTCAAGGATGTGATAGGAATAAATGAGATTTTTTAGATGCAGCTGCACTGAAGGCATGTGGATGGGATGAGAGGGCACCCCTCTGCTCTGGGCACCGAGACTGAGGTTGCAGGGAGGGCGGCCAGCCTGCTTGCTAGAAGCACGAAAGACTGCTCTGGCCCCTGGAAGTTGTTATTACCAGCATTGTGTCCTTCCCAAGGTTACCAAGAGCTCTGCAATTATAGAGTGACTTGGCTGGGGCTTCTCAGAGATTAGTAAACAGAAGCCTAAGATGGGCTGTAGCTCTATTATTATAAAATCTCTGTTTATGGGGCACCTGCTATGTGCATAGATGCTGTGCTACAGTTTTTTCCCTACAACCCCAGAGGGAGGTACATTTCACAGATGAAGCAACTGAGCCTCAGGAGATTAAGTGTCTTGGTCAAGGTCATGGGGCCAAGGAGGGGTAGAATGTTGAGCCCCAAGGCCAAGCCCTTTCCTTTGCATTGTGTTGCTGCATCTAAGGCACAACTCATGGATGGAGGGTGGAGACCTTCCCAGGGAGACCCCAGCTGATTTCCAAACAGGGATAACGAAAGTGCCCAGTACCAGGAAGCACTCAGGAACTCCTGCTCCTTGCCTTGCCAACTGAGCCCGGCTGGCAGCACGCCCTGGAGCTGCTCTGTGCCCCTGGCGAAGGCTCCGTTGTCACCCAGCCCTTTATCTGGTGGTTGCTGGACAGAGGCTGGGGGAGGAGGAGGCTGCTGCAGTCTCTGGCGGGCCCTGGCGTGAAGGACACATCTCAGAGGTTGCGTGTGCCTTGGGCTCTGTCGCGGGCCATGCTGTGGGTGACAGGCAGTGACCTCCCCTGCCCAGTGCCAGTCTCCGGGGACTTTGGCCTTCTCAGCTGCGCATCTAGGAAGGGTTTGTTAGGAGGCTGGCTCAGGATGTTGTTTCTGCCCCCCCACCGGCTTCTCCTTCCTGATCCACGTCTGCCTGGTCACCCAGTCGTGAAGTTGGGGCCAAATAACCAAACTAGGTCAGGGTCAGCTAATGCCCTCAATGTCTTGGCCTTGGAGATTTTCTTTAGATAAACACAGACTCTGCTCATGACTGATTTAGTGCTCAAGTCCACTACACGGCTACATTTACACAATGAAGCATTCTGGAGCAACGCTATGCCAAAGCAGCCTGGCCAAGGTCGGGTTTCCCACGAAGCAGAGCCTAGGAATTATGGTGGGGGCAGGGGGAAGTGAGACGAGGAAGGAAGGAAGCCACTGTGGGTTACATAAATGAGCAGGTTATTGCTGTTTGCCGTTGGAGCTCGGTGCTGCTGGAGACTTCTCGGAGACAACGTGGAACGGATCTCAGAGTTGTCCCACTTGAGGGGTGAAGATAGTGGGGCATTATCCACCTATTCCCATTTGTCATTGGTTAAGGGCTGCGCCCAGGGGCATTAATTCCCCTGCACCCCTGGCCTGCCTGTGCATGGGTCAAGCACGCCCCTGCAGCAGGAGAAAGCCCGCAGGCAGAGCTGCAGGGCCCTGCAGTAAGCAGCCATCTGCAACAGAGCCAGCCCTTCTCGGTCCCGCTGGTTAGGGGACAACAATACTCTGAGCCACCAGACGACCACGAGGGAAAACTTTATTGCTCCGAGCACTTTACAGGAATGTCACCAACACCACATTTGGACAAATATATAAAAAGCACAACCTATTGTACAATCATTCCACCTCCTCCATTCGTGCACTGTACAGACGCTTCCCAGGCCTCCCTCCCAGCGCGATGGACGGTCTCAGGGGCAGCAGCTGCACTTGTCTGCGCCCCCTTTGCAGATGCAGCCCCGGGCACACTTGGTGCAGCCCGGGGGGCAGCAGGAGCAGCAGCCTGGAAGGGTCAGGAGATGCACAGATCAGCTTTGGGGCAACACTCCCATCTTACCACCGCCCCTCCCACCGCTTAGAGGAAGTAGGAAAAGATGAGTGTGTGCATGAGGCTTCCATCCATATTAGCAAAACGCCTGGGAAGGGAGGTCGTGGGATGTTAGAGCAGGAAGGGATCTCAGGGGTCATCTAGAATCCACCAGAGAGGGGAGGGGTTGCCAAGGTCATTGGACAGTGGTAAGGCAAGACTAGCACCCAGGGCTCATGGCTCCAGGCCAGTGCTCTGTCTCTGTCACCACTGGGCAGGACAGAACCTCCCCTCCATCCCCTTCCCGTCCTAAACACTGAGGGTGCCCTGATCCCCGGGGTCGGCGGCAGCCTTGGGGAGATCTCTGCTTGGTTCTCATTCCAGATCTCGCCCCAAATGGGTAAAAGCCCCCTCACCCCCGCCGTGGCTGGAGCACTGAAGATGGGGAATCAGGCCTCTCCGGCTCCCAGCCAGGGGTGCCCCCCACCACACTCACTTTTCCGACATGTTTTACAGCTGCAGGCTGTGCATTTGCAGTTGTCGCCGCAGATGCAGATTCCTCCTAGAAGACAAGACAGAGCCACCGCAGCCGTGAAGATGGAGGTGGGGCGGGGACACAAGGCACAAGCCAACTGTCACCGAGGCAGGGTTTCTGGGCCCCTTGCGGGGGGGTGGGGAGGCTGGACGAGAGGGAGATGATGCTGCCGAGCATCACCTCAGTGTGAGGGACCGTCCAGTGGTTCCCAGTCACAGGCCACGGATGGGACCTGGGATAGCTGCCTCAGCGCCCTCGGGGGTGGGGGGGATACTTGTTAAAATGCAGATTCCTGGGCCCAACCCTTGAGATATTCTGATTCATAAGTCTGGACGAGGAAAGGGACTCAGTTTCTTTAAAAAAGCAACCCACTGGGAGGCCGAGGCGGACAGATTGTTTGAGCTCAGGAGTTCGAGACCAGCCTGAGCAAGAGCGAGACCCCGTCTCTACCAAAAATAGAAAAAATTAGCTGGGCCTGGTGGCGCATGCCTGTAGTGCCAGCTTCTCGGGAGGCTGAGGCAGGAGGATAGCTTGGGCCCAGGAGTTTGAGGTTGCTATGAGCTGGGCTGATGCCATGGCACTCTAGCCCGGGCAATAGAGTGAGACTGTTTCAAAAAAAAAGCAACCCAAATGATTCTGATACACTATGAGGTCTGAGAAGCAGTAGACCAGGCCACCTTAACCAAGCCCAAGGTTCCTCTGGGAACTAAGAGGCTTTGAGGCCCTCCCCACAGGCGCAAGGCAAGACGGAAACCGCGAGGGAGCATAAAGGAGGCCAAGCGACCTACGGAAGCCCAGAGTGAGAGCTACACTTTGTTCTCATAGCATAAAAACCATCCAGACTTTAACAAAAAAAAAAAAATTATCTATCATTTTGAATTTGAAAATGCTGGAAGCTTCTGTCTCTTCTGCAAATTTTTGGTACAAACATGTCCTGTTAAAGACACAGGAGTCTTGTGAGACTTCTTGTTACCATTTTCCGAGGCTGAAAAGCCCAGAATGGCTTTGAACCCCGACTTCTCTCCTCTGGCCAACGTGCTTCCATGGAATTAAGAGGTATCAGAGACTCAAGAGTCCACATAAGTTAGAAACAACTTCCCTGCTGTCTGCAAGTGCTTAATCATTTCAGCACTTTCACAACAACCCTGGAGCGTGAACAGTTGGGAATGAGTAACCCTATTTTACAGATGGGAAAACTGAGGACCAGAAATAAGTGTCGGTGAGTAAATGGAAGCAATGGACCCAAGCCAGGCTGCTGGGCTCTGGGCCAGAGTTCTTCTCCCCACCCTGGCGGCTGCTCCTAGGGGCCAGCAGGTAGCCTGGCCAAGGTTTTCAGGTTCCCATCTCGCCACTGCCTGAGCCAGGATGTCAGTTCTAGAAGATCAGGGCTGGGAGCTGGCAGAGAGTAAGGGCTTCCCCACAGGCTGCCAGTCTGGGACAAACCCCACTGGTGACTCCTAATTGGAGGGAAGAGAAGTGTTCATCAGAGTCCTGGAGGCTGCCTGGAGGAAGCTGGTATGAGGTTCCAGGCCCCTGGGGTGGGCCTCCTTCCTTACCAGACATGCAGGTGCATTCTCCAGGGTCCATGGTCCAATGTCCGAGAGGCTCGGGTGCTGTCCCAGCTGGGGAAGGAAGGCTGGGTGAGCAGCCGCGGGAGGCTCCCTATTTATAGCCAAGTAGGTGTAGACCGCGGCTCACCCCACCTCTCCCCGGGGCCAGACGCCCTGCACACGGCTCAGCCAGACACCCCGGGCTGGGGGCTGGGGAAAGCAGGCCGAGGGAGGGCAGAGCAGAGGCTGAGCAGTACGGGCATTCAGGTCACTCTTCAAAAGGGGCTCAGGTGGCTGGACCAGCCCCACCTGCCCACAGGCCACGGTGTCAGGGAACCAGGCTCAGGTTCAAATGCATGCACAGTGCTCACACTGGTGGTCTCCAAGTCCTTCACATTTTATTATCTGCTATTTCTGTTCCCTCCTTCATAGGGGCTGCACCTGTTCCGGCTCAGGGCCTCCTTCTCTCTCCCCTGGTTGATTGTAAAAGCCATTGCCATGGCAGGAGGCTCCAGGCTTTAGAAGGTGCCCACCAAGGACCCCGCTGGCTATACCTCTTCACCCCCTGGTCACAAGGTAGAAAACCAGGGGACTGTGCCCAGCCAGAGCTTGCTACCTTTCCTTCTAGACCACACATGAGTGGTAGAAGCAAGGGAGGACTTGGGGGAGGTTTAACTACCGCCCCCATCTGCACCATAGCCCCATTCTTGGGTCTGGGCAGCTGACTTCTGCAAAATAAGTCAGTGGATGATGCAGCTTCAAGCCTCCCGGACAAGCTGCCATCCTCGCCCACTCCCCGCATGGAAATTCTGGAGCTGCTGTTGCTTACGCTTCCTCCAGAAAGCTGCGTCTGATCTCTCCCTCTGTCAGCTGGAAGAAGTCGCTCCCTCTGTGGCCCCCCGGCGACGTGTTTGTACATTTCTCATGACATTTACTCTCTTCCACTCTGCCGTGTGATGATTTGTGTTCGTGGTGCTTACCTCCCTCGCCCCAGTCGCGGGCGATCGGGAAAGACCCATATCTCTGCCTCCTCGGTGCTTTGCACAATGTTTAGTGGGCGTTGAGTGAATGAACAAATGAATGAATCAGATGAGGACAGCAGTGGAACGCGTGAAGACGAGAGAGAGAGGAGGTGTGCGAGGGAAGATGTGAATGAGCGAGTAAAAGGTGAGGGGACACACGCGTGCATCTGTTGCAGGTAGCACCACTGAGGGTCTCTGCTGAAAATGCTGTCACTATCCAGAAAGGCAAAACGTGGGCCCGGTCACGTGGGGCTACTTCCTCCAGCTCCTAGTTCGGTTTAGTGGGGTCTCTGTCATTGTCCGTAAGGAACACGTTGGCCCTCAGGCTGATCCCTGGAACCATGAGTTTTTTGTTTTTGTTTTGTTTTTTTTTGAGACAGAGTCTCGCTTGTTGACCAGGCTGGAGTGAGTGCCGTGGCGTCAGCCTAGCTCACAGCAACCTCAATCTCCTGGGCTCAAGCGATTCTGCTGCCTCAGCCTCCCGAGTAGCTGGGACTACAGGCATGCGCCACCATGCCCGGCTAATTTTATATATATATTAGTTGGCCAATTAATTTGTTTCTATTTATAGTAGAGACGGGGTCTTACTCTTGCTCAGGCTGGTTTCGAACTCCTGACCTCGAGCAATCCGCCCGCCTCGGCCTCCCAGAGTGTTAGGATTACAGGCGTGAGCCACCGCGCCCGGCTGAACCATGAGTTTTGAGCTGAGAACTTCTAATGAGTAGCAGGAACAAGAACCCCCACACAACCCCGAGAACATGCAGTGGCTGGCAAGCTCAGCTTAAATCCACACTTAGCAAATAAATACTTCTTTGGAGAAGTGATCTTTAACCTTCTTGGGGAAGTCAAGGAGCCCTTTGAAAATCCGATGCAAGCTCTGGACCCCCTCCCCAGGGGGAAAAAGAAAAAGCACAAATGCACATTTCCTCCACAAGTTCAGGGATTTTGTGGATCTCTTAAATCCCATTTTTGACCTCCTGAGGGGTCCTGACTTAAGAATTCCCCTGCAAAAAAGCAGTTCTGCCTGGAGCATCTCCTCTTCTCACGCAGCAACTTGAGATCCTTTGAGCCGCTGAGTCCTAAATATCTCCTTCTCCAGTTGTGGCCTGTATTTTATGCATAAGTAAATTCAGGTGGTTTTCTCAAAACAGTGACACAGATGGTTCTAAAGAAGCATCTAATACGCCATCTCTTAGGAGACATAAAACGACACGGTTTTTGTCTTCTCTCCTTCTTGTAAAGGTAAAACCTAAATACATGCTGCTCCTGTATCCAGCGGTTTCTGCCAGAGAGAAATTTCTGGAAACTCCTGGCCTAGGGATGGGGGGGGGGCGGGGTTTAAGCCTGCAGTGATGGCAGAGAAAGGTCTGCCCTGCCCCCACACCCTGGTCTATGTCTTGGTGTTGGGATTGCCACCCACCCTCTTAATGTGTGCGTCTCTTCAGAAGCAGCCTAGAGCCGCTGGTTTTATTACGCTGCTTTATAAACTGGCTTCTCTAGACCACAAGCTGCTCAAGAACAGGGCCATGGCTTATTCATCTCCACATCCCCCTGGCCAGGCACACTGAGTGCTGCTCCACAGTAGGTGCTCAATAAATATTTATAGGCTGATGGTGAATAATTGGCTCCATTAACAGAGTCACAACCAGGCTGTCTGCTCTGGCTCTTGTCAAAGAGATTCAGAGCTCCTTGTTGCTCATGAAGAGCAACAAGTCAAAAGTTTGAGACTTGGAGTCACCCTGCCTGGGTCCTAATCCCAGCTCTGTTTCTTCTTTGCTGCAATGATTTGGGGCAAGTTGCTTGACCTCTCCGAGCCTCAGTTTCCTCATCTGCAAAGCCTAGCCCATGCAAATGACAACCCGACAGCACTGTTGTTGTGACGGTTAAATGACAGAATGTATAGTAAGCAGTTAGTTCAAAATCTGGCACATAGGCTGGGTGTGGTGGCTCTCGCCTGTGATCCTAGCACTCTGGGAGGCCGAGGCGGGAGGATTGCTTGAGCTCAGGAGTTAGAGACCAGCCCAAGCAAGAGCAAGACCCGTCTCTACTAAAAATAGAAAAATTAGCCAGGCGTCATGGTGCACCCCTGTAGTCCCAGCTACTTGGGAGGCTGAGGCAGGAGGATTGCTTGAGCCCAGGAGTTTGAGGTTGCTGTGAGCTAGGCTGACGCCATGGCACTCTAGTCCAGGCAACAGAGCAAGACTGTCTTAAAAAAAAAAAAAAATTAAAAAATCTGGCACAATATTATTATCATGATTACTATTACTATTATGATCATTATCTGTGCTTAATACAACTTGGCAGCCTGGTTCACAGCACCTACCCATTTGTATGTTTCAGGTTCATAGACCCCTCAGCTGGTGCCACAGCCCTGAGCAGGATGCGCTCATCAGCAGTGAGTATTGTGGAGTTTTAGTCTCTGTGCTCCCAGCTCTTAAGCCCAGCCTAGTTCATTTGGGTCCCGGGGCCTGGAGACCGCAGGACACTGTCCTTTCTGGCTCTCCTTGCTGCAGTTTCAACCTGTTGGAAGGCAAAGTTGACCTTTCACCTACAGACCCTCGTATGGCGGTATTTCTGGTCCTATGCGTATGACTAGGCATGAGATGTGATGGGAAAAATCCGAGCAGACAGGGCCCCGTGGGGCATCAGCTGGAATCCAAGACGACCAGCACTGGAAGAACCCTGAGAAGCTGGGGCCAGGCCTCAGGTCACTGGGCTTACATGAGTGGCGGGGGGATTTGAACTTGGCTTCTCAACTTGCTGCTGGCTCTCATGCTTTAGATCTGAAGCACTCGTGACAGAATTGTTTAGCAGCTAAAAGCCTTTGCGGCTTTATAAACTGTTTATTAATTATTTTTTTATTAGAAAAAAAATTCAAACATACTAAAAAGTACAAAGAATAATATTCCAAACACCGCGGTATCTAGCTCTCAGAACGAAGAGATGTCAACATCATGCTATTCGTTCAGCTCTTTGAATTATAAGAAATAAAAATTTAGCGAGTTCGTGGCTTTGAATAGCATCTATGTGTTGGTGGCTCTGAACTTGAGACTTTTAGCCCCGGCCTCTCCTCTGAACTCCAGTCTCCTAGCCTGGCTGCTACTCAGCACCTCCACGTGGATGCCAATCGACATCTCGAACCCATCCTGTCTGCACCCGAGCTCTGCTCCCCGCCTCACCTCCTGCCACCTCCTCCCACGGTCTCGCCTGCCTCGGTGATGCCACTTGGTTTGAGTTGTCGTCATCCCTCTCCAAGATTCAGCACCTGTGTCCCACCTGGTGTCCCTGCATCTGACTCCGTGGCTGTCCTCTTTGCCTGCCCCTCCCCCACATTTGCCACCCAACACTCAGGGTGATCCCAATAAAATAAAAGTGACATCACATCACTGTCGCGCTCAGAAAGCTTCAGAAGATTTCCATTTCACTGAGTAAACAACAAAGCTCTTGGTCACCTCTGGTCAGCCCCTGTTCCTTCTCTGCCTTTGTCTCCACTGTGTGTCCCCAGCCTCCCTGCCAGTCACTCCTTGAACTTGCCGGGCATGCTTCATGCAGCCCCAGGGCCTTGGCTGGTGTCTGAAAGATCTTTCCCCAGATATCTGCTCCGCTTACTCTACCTCCTTCGGGCAGGCTCTTCTCTGGCTGCCTTCCCTAAATTTTCCACTGCCTCCCTTAACACTTTTGTGTGCCTTTTTGCTTTCATTTTCTTCCTTGGTACTTATTACCACGAAACATCTTGTATATTTTGCTTATTTCTCATATTGTCCGACATGAGCAGGGATTTGGGTCTGTTTTGTTCACTGCTATACACTCAGTGTCTAGAAAAGTACCTGGCACCTAGCAAGGAGTCCATTTGTCGAATTAGTATATGAAAGTCCCCTTATATTTTCCTCCTTAGATCCCTCCTCTCTTTCCCTAAAGGAAGCCAGTTATAAAGTTCATGTGCATCTTGCTCGTGCTTATTATATTTTTCTACATGTGTGGGCATGTACAATCTGTACACGGTATTGCTTTGTGCGTTTTTAAAAAGTCTGTAAGTGGTACCACAATGCAAGTGTTGTTCTGCAACTGTTTTCCCTTCCGCTGTTATG